TATCAGTTTCAGTTGGAATTCCATCGAAAATGATTGACAGAATTATCTTTGAAGGATTAAAAGTAATTTTCTTCCTTATATTTGAGAAGACTTCAGGAATATACTGCCCTTTTCTTTTAATGACGAAGTCTGTCAGTTAACTCTGCATGTTACATGTAGAAAAGCAGATCGATCGTTGGTCGTTGTAAATAGTTTGCGAATCGTATCAACTGTCATCTTTTTAAATCACCTCATTTTGACTACAAAATGATGATGTGATAAATTTTCTTGTAAAGTTATTCTGCTCGTTCGGTGTTTAATACCATCCGAATCATCTTTCACTCGTATAAGATTAAATAATCATTCATCAATTTCACTCGAGCAGCGATTTGGATTCTGACGACTGTTTTTGATCGTAATAGAGTCGATAAAATTGCATCACACCGCTTTACATTTTTTGATTGCTTGTTCAGAAAATATAATTCTCAAAAAAAATGTTTGTTGTATTTCTGTCTTCATGAACATGCCAACAATAGAGCTAGTCTAGAAGAGTGAGGTATTAAGTGAATATTACCTTTGAAAACTCCTCCTAATTTGTTCAAGTCTCCATTACGCATGAGCAAACACAATCATTTTATCACAAATTCATGATCCGATAGAAAAACCGATCGCTGTTCAAGCAATCTACGGTTTCATATGATACAATGTAACTTCATAAGTATTCTGATTGGAACAGTTTTTAAACGATTCAAAATTGATTTCATGTCAAGAGTTGATCGATGCCACGGAAACTTGTTGTTTTTGAATTTCGATCGATCTCTACCAGTAGTAAGTGACCACCAAGATTTCCGTAGCTCTTGATGAAAACAGAAATGCTGAATCTTGCGACTGTCGGTGGCTATCGGCCGACAGGCTATTTTTGCCACTGCTTCGGTAGGTACCGACCGAAGGCGACTGATCAAAATTGTCTCATCATTTACTTAATCTACCAATTTATGTCGAATGCAACCGTTGGGAGGTATACGCCGATGGAGAAAAGGTGGTTTGACACCTGTTCGTATGGGTTCTTTCAGTTTCATTCGGATGGATATTGGCCATCATGAGTGCTCATCGACATATGAACAAGAGAGCGCATTTGATTTATATTTGCAACTCGAACCTGAAAGGTTTCGTTTGAAATGTGGATGTGAGCATGTCGATAGGATATTTCATCAGGGTATTATTCAAGGTGAAATAACCGAACTGGTTGGCAGCACTGCAGTTGGTAAAAGCCAGGTTATTCGATCACATTAATCTGTCATATTGCATTCATCTAGAAAACAGCAAACCTCAAAGGGGAGAAAAGTCTGAGCATTCGTGATTCTGCTTCAGTTTATTTCGCGTTTACTATCCATATCGTTCTTGCATCCATTTATCACTTCTTTCTGCTATCACTCGGTTTTATCAATATCTCGCACGTCAGATGTGTTTTTCGTTAACTGCCTCTGTTCTGCTCGCAAAAAATCGCCGTTCATCGCACGTGGTCTACATTGATACAAATGGGAGTTTTCGCAGTACACGATTACTGCAGATTCTTGTCGATCGTGGTCAAAGTGTAAGTTCTGTTCACCTGATTATTCAATGAATTCGTCCCTTGTTTGATCAATCAAGGAACGAAATCACTGACCGCTTTAAAAATGAAACGTTTTAGAAAGAAATCGCAATGGAACTCCTCTCAAGAGTATTGGTTAAGAGAGTTTACGATGAAGACGATTTAAGAAGGGCTTTAATCGCTCTTCAGGTGAGCATTATTCCCTTCGTTGTCAACAGAACGAATCTTATCATTTCAATTTCCTATTTTGTCATCCGAATATATTTTCATTCCAGTTTACCTAAAGTGAATATTTGCAATGCTAGAAAAACATTGCATTTTCGATCAGATTTTGAAAGAATTACTCCGATTTTTCGTTTACGCATAAGCTTCAAGTTTCGAACTGTCTTGAATACGGTTCAAAAGACGACGTAAACTAATGAGGATGTCTCGCTGTAATGGTGAGATCTGTCTATCCCTCTCTCACTCTTCTTCACATCAGCAAATCTTCTAATCACCATTTCAACACAGAATTATGTTCATGGAGATCAGTCTGTGTTGAATTGCCTCTAAATGATCCGTATTGCATTCAAAGAGAACAGCCATAATGCCGGCATATTATCGTAAATGTATCTTTCGAAACAAATTTCGTTTTCAGAAATTTGATAAATCAATTGACTTGATTGTTATTGACAGTATTGGTTTCGCACTTGCCCAAACAGCACTCACGTATTTTGAAGGAGGTTTGTGCTTTGTTCCTTGTAGACGTAGACTGGAATCTATAAAATGGTGGACAGGCTTCCGGAGTTTCAAGCTGGGAATTTAAGCTGAGCTTACAGTTTTAAGCTGAGAATTTTGGCCAACTTCTTGCATAAGCTGTAACTTAATATCAGACCCTCAAGAGGCATTCAATATTAGCCTATTCCTAATATTCTCGTATTTTTATTGGTGTATACAAATTTCTACTGTTATGTGTTTGGCTCACACAGCAAACTTTTCTCTGAATCTTAACGTTACATTGAGTCATTAATTTTTTGAGCATTGATCTCACACTGATTCTCAGTTCGAAAGAGATAAATTAGTGATTTTATTGAATATGTGAACAGTGCTTTTAGTGATATCAAAATGTATTTACTCCTTACGAAGAAGTATCGAATATCAAGAAATATTCAAGTCATGAATTTCTGATAAAAGTTTCGCATTCAAACTGCAGGTAAAGAAATGCAGGAGCAAATAATCGTAAGATTGCATCGATTATCACGTCAATTGGGCTGTGCTATCGTGACAACAAATCATTTAATATATCGTAATAATTACCCTTTCCCTTCACTCGGCTATAAATGGAAAGATACAGTGCACTCGCGATTCGTTATGGTTAAATTGTCTGATTGTTTCTATATTCAAATGATTCAATCGAAGCGATACAGTGTTCGTTTGTCTTATTCATTCGATCCTTTAACTTATGCCAGTCAATCAATGTTCTCGCAGTGAATGTGTTACGTAAAATCTGAATCGTAGCGCCTAATTCAGCAGTGATTAGAATATTATCGCTGGAGTGATATTAATTCGATGATTTCTTTTTCGGTCATCAATCGATGACAGTCGTTTTGTCGATCGTTGATGATTATCCACAGATAAGATTGGATGAATGAATGCATAGTGTCTTTTCAATAGTGATATTATCAGAAATGCTATTACCACTCCAATGGCGATATTCTCATCGTTGTCAATTTTATCAATACGGTTCAAATGCTTACAATATTTGTTTGCGCATCTAATGAATGTTTCATCTTTCATCAGAATGCTCGAAACGATTAAGTATCAGTTCCGAAATCCTATTCGCTGTTATGCAAACGTTCGAGTGATCTGAAAGTGTCAGATTTTAAAATGATATTTGGTTTCCTTTTTCAGTTGGACGGTGATCGTGCATATTATCAGATTAGTGATTCGGGTATTGTTTCATTGTGTGACGATGAAATCACTGAACAAACTCAAAAAACCCAAAAAATAATCAACGAAAATTGGGATACAATTATGTGTTCGTTGTCACAAATTGATGAAGCTAATGAAGAACTGTGATTGCTCAAGATTGAAAATAATTCCTTTCTCATGTATAATTCCAATTCATTTTTTCCTACTTTTATTCACTTATTATTTGTGAACGGTGATATAATTTGATTTTCTTCTTGTGTTGTTAGCCACCACTTTATTTTCGCTAAAATTTTTCAGAGTAAAATTGATTGCACTCGCATTTCACACGAAACGTGAGTTGAATCAGCATTGCAAAACAGGAACTAATTGATGAATTAGTGAACGAATTGGCTCTTAATGATCTCCGAGAGAGCACATGGCGTATGCTTGTTCCCTTCCCTCCTCCCCCCTCCCCGTTCTACAGAAAACTAACTGAATGGGTGTTTATCGTCAACGACATACGTATCTCATTTTTTGAGGACCATCAGCATTCGACTTTGAAAGATCGAGTGAACTCAATTATCACAATAAAAAGTGCCTATTTGTTGAAATTAACATAGAATGAAAATGTTATAATTTGGAAAGGAAGTCAGTGCTATGCAAAATGGGACAGCGAAAAGACTATAAATAAGCTTGAGGTGAACGTCTGATTAATTATCAGCGAGTTGAGGTGGCTGAGGGGTTGTGTGGTGGGCGGGGTTTTGCTGAGGTTCGAGGTCGATTGAGCTATTGGTTTGTTCTCCTGTTTGAGGGTGCGTGCGCTCTTCAAATTTAACACTGAAACTCTTAAGGCTCATATGAATTGTGCCGTTCGGAATGAAACAGTGAGACTTGGAGATTGTGAATATATTATAGATTTACTTGGTAAAAACTAGATTTGTTGCATCTTAATAAAAGGAATTATTCAATAGATCTTAATAAGGGAACAATCTGAGTTATTCCACGTTGAATGAAAAACTTTCTCGGCCGAAACAAGAATGAATGCCTAAACTTCGTGGGTTATTATCAAGGTCGTTCACACACTTCTGCTACTTTTGACTGCTATATTGAGTTCAGTAATAATGTTGAAATTTTCAAGAAATTACTCTCATCATTACTCAAATGATTCAGTTTTAGAAATATAAATGCGTCAATTCGAAAGCACAATCATATCAATGTTTTTGCTATTGCTCATTTGTTCACTGGTTAGTTTTGGCCTAATTGTTCATAAAACAAATATCAACAAAGTTTTTCGACTCCACACTAAAAGACCTCGGCACATCACGGAGTCGTTTCAATTATCATTATTTTTAAAACGTGAGGCCAAAATTACGACGCAAGATTTCACCAAATTTTATTATTATTGGAGATATTATTCATGTAATTATTAGCATTCCTACTGATACCTTAATTATAACTAAAATAAATTTTACTGCCTAAATGAATGAATTGTTGCAAGAAATGTAAAGTATTTCTTGCATATTTATTTTCGTCGCGTTGAAGTGTCGCAATACAGGTCAGATGAAATGCTTTCAGGAGCTATCTGCGTCAAAGATGAATCAAATTAAGTCCTCATTAACAAGTGATGAACGTAAACGCATTTATAGCACACAAATGAATGAGGAAAGTGAACATTTTTTGAGGGACAATACTGAAGATGGAGGCAATGAGCGGAATGAAGAATTGACCAATCTAAGATCAAATGAAATGGATCAAAACTTGTGGAAGGGTGATGACGAAGAGATGAATGCTAGTCAGAAGAGGAGAATCGCTAAACGAGAAAGTTTTGTTTACTACAAAAATAAGCAAAAGGACGGCTTTGGGCATAAGTTCAATAAAACGATAGCGTTAATTCCTGGTATGAAATGCTCTTGTGGATTCTCGCTTCCTCTTGAGCAATCTCGACGATTGTCAAGCACTGACCTGTACTATAAAATCGGTGATCGCTATCGAATTGCCAGATGGAATGTCGAGGCGATGTGGCTGCTTACCGATGTTAGTTATAACAAACGTTATGATGCCATTCAGCTTTCGTTCATCGATGCGGCACGAAATAATCAGAATGTCACCTGTAGATGTGACAGTGTTGACAGAAGGATGTGGGGTAATTCTGCTGAGTTTGAACTGTTCGAATACGGTTAAGACTTGTCGTGTTATCGTTCTCGATGAAACAGTTTTTGCTGTTATGTTATTCGTTCATGAACAATTTCGTTGTTTTGTGCTCTCTACGGTGCTATTCTCAATTCAAGTGATTGTGTTATGTGCACAAGTTTGAGAATAAAAAGCGTTCGTTCACCCGCATCAAGGATCATACTGTAGATTGTGATTATGAATATCAAAAGATTTGCGTTTCACCAAGCGCATTCATGTGGTAAACTGATATTTTGTTACCTTCACTTAATTAATTCAACTTTTTTGTGGAGTTGTTCGTCTATTTTTAATATGTACATATTCGTGCTTGACACTTCAACGAATTGTTTATTGATCCTGCTTTGTTGAATAAACATTTTCTTTGACCGTTTAATTGAATATTATTACCGAATCCCTTAGATTCCGATTTATCAGCATTGGAGTCACTCACAAAGTTGCTGAATATGAACATCAGCATTAAGCTGTCGGTAATTTTGGGTAGTGTTGTAATGAAGCCTCATAAGTGTTATATTCAGCATGACAAGATTGAATGAGCCGAAAGGTTCTGATGAACAGCATCAATTCTGTAGGATTAACATAAAATAAGACTATTTCGAAGAAAAAGATTGCATACTGCAGCGAGAAAAAGGATTCTAGGTGGGGTTGGCTTTCATAAGCCGACATTGACTGATGGAATGAAGAGGCTTAACCAGTTTTGCAGTGGATCTTTTATTGAATTCAGATAGAAGAATAAGCTTGACTTGTATGTGCTTATTTTGAACACAAAAATTTTCACTTTCATACGATGAAAGTTATTGATGGTGTTTTTAGTGCCATAAATAATGAGTAAAATGAAATAAGTGTGATAATAAATGGTGCTGCATGTAATGAAAACAATATGCATTGTAAAGTGTTTGAAATAGAATTATTGCTGAACAAATTTGTTGGAAAGATTGCTTCAATGTTTTTGTTGCTGCTCACTTGTTTAGTCGTTTGTTTTGTCCTATTTATCAACTCACACAACAGCTGACCGTTCTTCTGCAAAAAAACAACAACAATACCCCACAGAACTTCGAATTTCTGTGAATGCTGAAGTGAATGTATTAGTTTCTAATGGCAGTAAAGGAAGCAGAACGCCAATCGTTAAATGCGTTCAAGTTTGGTATTAATTGTTGATGATAATAAGCAAAATGAAAGGAAAATATTTTCAGGAGTTTATAGTGGCAGATGGTGTGCTGGTGAGATTTACAACAAGGAGCGATTGGCAGAATCCAAAGTTTCTTCACACAACAGAATCCAAAGTTTCTTTTTTCATACTGAACAAAACGAACGATTGTTAAATGGTAATGCCAACCAGATGAATGAATTCATGAAGGAAGATTTGCTTAATCCAAGTTCACATGTAAACGAGCAGGAAACTTTTAAACATTCTCTCTTCGAAGAAACTGATG